AAAGGAGAGAAACTAAAGTCGTAGTGTCGATTGACCGTCCCCGACTCAATCTCCACGATCACGAGCCTTCGAAAATCTTCTCCTCGCCCTCCTTGCTTCAACTCTCGAGCCAAACCTCTCCAAATTCCAATTCTCTAATGTGAGAATCCCCAAAAGTCCCCAAAAACGGCGCACCAATATTTTACTTATGTGCGGGCATCGCTATAGTGCCATGGTTCCATGAGCACCATGGCGATGTCCTAAATTTGTGACGGACGCGCAAGTTCGTAGTGCCACGACGCTACATTACAACGCTGCAGCGCTGTCATCAAGAAAAGAGGCTCAAGCTTTGTCTGCAGGCGCCATGACACTGCTTCTTCGGGATTTTGCTCCCAATTCTGACCTGCAGAAGCCATGGCGCTACATGATGGCGTTGCGGCGCTGATGTGGCTGAATTAAGCTCCCTTTTTTCTCTAGTTTTCCTCTCAATTGATCGTTTATGCTCTAATTCTTTCTAATGACTTGATCTTGTAAAAACATCAGTTATACACGTAAATAAGTCATAAATGATAGAAAATTGCTAAATAATTCCCACCTGAATGTCATAATGTGGTTTATAAAGTACACTATCATTTATCTACTCTAAAAAATTGATTTCAAAATATAGAACATCAATTTTTAAATTATATTTTAGTTGTTAAATTTCATTATTCATTTTTTTTATTCCTAAAATTAAGGCATGTTTTACCTAGTCAAATTTTTAAATTAAATTTTAGTTGTTTAAAATTCCTAAAATCAAGCTCATATACCTAATTTGTTACAAATGTATATTTATCTAAAATATTATTCAGGATTCTAAAAAGACTATTCAGTTAGTCATTTGTCCAATATGTAATAGGGTTGGCTCATTTTTAAAACGCCTTATTTATTTTAGTCATTCCTACCGTCACCCCTATATTAATTTGTGATCCACAATATTATTAGAATATTCAAATATTCTAACACCCCTTTCTTTCTCCTCACAATTACACTCCCCTCCACAATTTCTACGCCAAAGACGATTAAAAATAATAATAAATATATTGTATTTGTTAATATTTTCTTTCCAATTGCTAAAATAAAAAAAGATAGAGAGAGATAAATGGATGGGAGAAAAAGAGAACGTGAGAGGGCAAACGTTCAAGAAATGAGATTATAGAGAAAAAAAAAGTGTTATGTCAAACACAAACTTAATCTAAGGCGTTTCAAAACTTTACGATAACTAAATACTGAAAAATGTTCATACAATCACAAGAATTATAAGCAACACAATGACAATAATATAAAGCATCTTGACTAATTTAGTCTATACCTCAGCTTCTTGTTGAGTTTGTCAGGATTTTAAACAACTCCATGATTGTTTCACCACTCTCTAGATGGTTAAGGATAATCTTAGCTTTTCCTAGGTACCTTGACATATCATTTATTCATGGGACCATTGATCTTATCCATGTTTTGAATAATAGTATATGATATTGTTCACTTTGAACATAAGTCCTTATGACTTTACTTTTGCTTCCACCCAAAATGTCTCGTTACCAATGGAGATATAGTCCATCACTTGCATGTGGGGATAATGGAGCCAAAAACAAATGACTCGTGTCCTACGAAGAAAAAAATTTTCAACACTACTACGAATTCCTATAAGGAGTAGGATATTTTTGTCTTATAAGGATTACAATATTGTTTTCCTATAATAATTTTGGGGAATTTGTTAGATGTCCCAGATTTGTAATCTTCCTATTAATGATTGTGACAACTTTTACACGATATGTACTATCTTGGGGTCAGATAAAGGTGTCATTTGTACATAATTCAAATAAAAGATACTTGAGTGGTTGTGGGTAGTGTGTAAAAATTAGATTGTATCCCGTAGGTTTAGTGATGGTACTTTCAATTGTGTAATCCCACGTAGCCATTGTGAGGGTACTTAGAAGCAAGATAGTCATTATATAGTGATATCTTGAGAGAGATCTCCATTGTAATATTCACAACTATAGTAGAACCTACTTTTTTGCAGAAGATTGGACGTAGTCCCAAGACTAGGGCAAACCAGTATAATCCCTATGGTATTAAGCTTTTCTATTCCTATCTCTTATTTTTTTGTTATTGTTACTTATCTGTTTTAACCTTTGGAATGGGAAAATCAATTAGTTACTGTTTGAAGAACATACAGGAGGATCGATTGATCTATATTTTTCCCCCATCAATTGGTATTAGAGCGTTTGGTTCAGAGGGTCATGGGATTGGCAGAGAAGTCAGATATTTAAGCTATCATCAAGTTTCATGGGGGCCAATTTCGGATATTGAAAGATGCAGATTAAGGATTTCATGACTTGTAAGAAGTTACAAAAAGCTTTAAAGGATCGACCAGCAGAGATGAAAGATGAAGATTGGGTAGAGACAGTTGAATAGGCAGTTGGCATTATCAGATTGTGTTTGTCGATGAATGTGGTAAGTCTCATGGCAAATGAAGTTACGACAATAGGTTTGATGAATGCACTAGAGAACAGGTATGCAAAACCCTCAACTAATAATAATGTATATCTCGTAAGGAGATTTTTTAACATTCGCATGGAACAGAGTACTTCTCTCAATTCCCACATAAATGAGGTCACAAATTTAATCAATCAATTGACATCAGTTGAAAGTTGGGAAATGATGAAGATAGTAGTGTCCAATTTATTAAGGGACAAATCTTTAAAATTTTCAGAAATTTGTGATGCGGCAATTGCTGAAGAAATTCGTAGGAAGGAGATTGAAAAAAAGACTACTTCCAAGCAAGACTCAGCATTGACTATTCAAGAAGGTAAAGAAGAGGTTGTGACTCATGACCGGTAGCAAAAACATAGCAGGTGGAATTGAAAGATAGAGATCGAATGTTTTCACTACCACAAAAAGGGTCACATAAAAAAATGTAGAATATTAAATGAGGATTTAAAAGGTATATAACGGAGGCAAATGCAGCTGTAAACGATGCCCTCATATGTGTTGTGAGCAACACAAAAACTATAACGCAGTCATCAGAGTGGGTAATAGACAACTTAGCTTCAATACACATATTTTCACATAGGAGATTATTCACATTTTTCAGAAGAGGCAATCACGACCACGTGAGGATGTGGAATGAAGAATTTTTCAAGACTAGCTAGGGGGATTTGGAAATATACGATTGAGGACCAATAGTGGGACTGAGTTATTACTGCAAGATGTCAGGTGTGTACCTGTATCAAAGTGAACCTTCTACAGGTAAGTTGGACGATGATGGTTATCAGAATGAGTTTGGTGGAAACCAATGGAAGCTCACCGAAGGATCCAAGTTGGTGGCAGTTGGCCAAAACTTGCAAGAGAATCCTTGGAGAATTTTCAAGAAGATCAAAAGTTTTTGCAGTGAGGCAAGATCAACGCTTTGTCTCCAAGTGGGAGATTGTTGGGACGATAATGGAGCTAAAAACAAATGACTCAGGTCCTTTCAAATAGTTCATTGCATACTCATGATTTTTCTCTTATCTAGCCAATGTGGAACTTTAATCACATTACTAAGCGAGCATACTTAGCGGTAATTGACATATATCTCCCATCAAGAGGTTGTAAGTTCGATCCTCACCTCCACATATTGTAATAAAAAAAACGACATTACTAAGCACCATTATAACTTATAAAAAAATAGAAATTAAAAATTAATAAGTTTTACAAGTATTAATATTCATGGGTTCCATCTCAAAACTTACCCCCTCAAGATCGTTGCTCTTTTGACTCATCAAACTTGGCCGGATCTCATTTTTTGACCGGTTGCTCGTTTGAGCGTTTTAGATTCTGATACCATATTAATATTCATGGGATCTCATCTCAAAATCAATTGGCGATGAGAGGAGTAGCTGATGTCTATTATAAACCTGCGTAAGGTCCCTTCTCTTATTAATGTGGGATCCTTAACAACAAGGACATGTTAATCGCTGCTAAAGAATTTGATTGTTAAATTTACCAATATTCATGGGGTTCCATCTTCATGCCCCTCAAAATGGTGCCTCTCATGGATTACCAATTTTGGTCGGATCGCATTTTGTTGATCGGGTGCTCGTTTGAGCTTTAATTATGTTGGTTTAACACAGGTTTTAGTCCCTATTTTTTGGATGTCTTTTCAATAATTTAATCTCTATTTGCTTGATCTTTGATAAATATTAAGATTGGTTAACAATAAATTTATACACATGATAAAAAGTTTAGATACGAGTGATTAGACCACCTAAAAGAGAAGTCAAAGTTTCCCCTAAGAAATTTGAAAATTTGGTCCCTTACCCTCACAGTCGTTGGCAATAAAGATATTGTTTTCCCTCACGCTGGAATCAACATAAATAACACTTTAGTGATCGGCAAATTGTTTGTTTGTAGGCATAAAATAGAATATATTACAAAAATAATTAAATATCACCATGTGCTGTCCATTGTCCTTGGGCTTTGGTGTAAAAATGGTATTAAAAAGACCTCGTTGTCTTCGTTTTTGCCTCCCAAGGAGATAAAACAACTCAATAATAAATATAATAATAGTGATAACTGATAATAAAGAAAGACTTAATTAGAAAATAACAAATATATATTAATAATAAAGAAAGACTTGATTAGAAATAATAAATAATTGCTAGTAACAAAATAATAAAGAAAGACTTGACTATAAAATAATAAATATGTATTTTCAAGAAAAAAAAATAAATATGTAGTAGTAATAATAAAGAAATGTGCATTGAAATAATAAAATCAAGTTGATTACATCTATGTATAAAAGAACAAATATTTTGGTATTGATTTGTGAATACCTTATCTTCATGACAATCAATGAAAATTTAAAAGCTCTTAAACATTTTTAGGGTAAGATAAATTATTGCTCTTTTTGTATTTTTCTTTCTTATAAAAAAAAGTTAATAGTGCATGACAAAGCAAGAATCACTAAGGGCTTCATTGGATTTCGAATCAAGTTGTATTTATGGTTCATTTCTTTAACGACGGTGTCAAGGACGAGATTCTAAGGAGCCAAGTATTTCCCAAAAAAAGTATTTTTCATCCTTATATAAATATGTTGGTGGTCGTTCAACCATATGGCTAAAACAATCACTATGGTATCACCAACATATTCAATTCTATGCACAAATCTTGAAGAAACACAGTGGATTGTGCAAATCAACGAGCTTTTCCAACGAAATGATTTTCATACCGCTTTCGAAAGTCCAACCTCTATCTTTCAAGTGCCCGATTGTATCAAAAATGATATCCCAGAAGCCTTTACTCCTCGTCGTGTGGCCTTGGGACCTTATCATCATTTTCAGCCGGAGCTTCTCAAGTTGGAGCTCTACAAGCTCGATAAAGCAACGAAGGTGAAAGACCAAATTCAACTTCCTGAGTTTCACCAACTTGTCAGTGATAAAATCAAGCCATTGGAGCTCAAAATCCGTGCATGTTTCGACAAATATTTGGAAGTGGGATGTGAGGCTTTGGCTTGGATAATGCTCATAGATGGCTTGTTCTTGATTCACTTGCTTCATATCTTTGCTGAAGTGAAAGTAGATTGTGATTCTAAGCGCCATGAGCTTCCTTTACCTGAACTCGACGCTGAACACCAGAAGATGTATCTCAACCCGAAAGCAAATTCGGTGGCTCGAAATGAGATCGTGAGTGACACTCTAATGTTGGAGAATCAAATCCCATTTTGTGTCCTCAAAGAAATTTTAGCAGGAACCCAAATCGCCAATGATTTGCCACTCTTTTTATACAAATTCTGTGTCTTGGTTTCACCATTTGCCTTACCTTCACAAATTAGCCCCAGAACTTTTCTCGACCTGCCTCAAGCATTCCAGCAATCTCATCATTTGTTGCATTTTTTGTACCTCTTAGTTTTGAATGTGAAGAAAAGGAAAGTTAAAATTCTCAGACGTTCCGGCCGGGTGGTCATATGCGTTGGCTTCAATATATTACTGTCACTTCTGCATTTGGATGTAGTGGAATTACTGAAGGAATTCAATGACTCCATCCAATCTTTGTTTGAAATTTTCAAGACATTGGTTCGGCCATCTGCGTTCGATGATAGCTTTCCTATGATTCCCTCGGCCTCGAAATTGAAGAAAGTTGGAGTGAAATTTAAGCCAAAATATAGCCTTCGAGACATTATATTTGACAAGAAAAAGACTTCTCTGAAGTTGCCCCCCGTCACCTTGGATTCTACCTCCCAAGTAATATTGAGAAATCTAGTAGCATTTGAAGTCATTGCCAAGTTCAATCCACCAATTTTTTCCCAATATGCAGCGATGATGAATGGATTAATTTCAACTACCAATGATGTCAAGATTCTCAAGCAAGCTAACATCATCATCAATAATCTTGAGAGTGATGAAGAAGTTGTGGAGCTCTTTGATGGATTTAAAAAGTTGGCTTCAAAGAGTGAATTGGAGATTGGGTCTAGTTCCAAATCAGCTTACATGGTAAATCTGGTTGAAATCATTGAAGAAATAAACAAATATTACGAGAGCAAATTGAAGATTAGGGTGAAAAAGTTTATAAAGAAGTACGTGTCTCCTATCGTCAAGATCCTTTTGATTTTTGTCGTCGTGTTGCTTATAATTTTTGTGATTATACGCACGTTGTGCGGATTATTATTTAGTTGTCCTAGGATTTTGAAATCATAAAAGTGTGTTTAATGAGGAGTACTTGTTAAAATTTGTTGTATGTGCATAGCTAGGAAGCGTTTTTCATAATAAAAGCTCTCTTGTTATTTAGTTCTAACATTTTAAAGATACTTTTAATCTAATTAAAAGTAGTTTTTTGAATCAGTAATATTTATTGAAATAAATATCTTTATAATTGATAAATCACTTTGTTGATTAAGCTTCTTGAATCTATTGCCAAATTGACATGATAATGTGGTAAAAAAAATCTTCGATATCTTAAATAGTTATAATAGATGTGTGTAGAAAGAGTTCTCTGACACCCATTACTCATTTCAACTAAGTAAATAATATAAAATAATAACGAAACTAACTTTTCCACTTGCTAAAAAAGTGAGGGGAGAAAATAAAACAATTAGGTGCTTAGGATAAGATAAATAAAAGACTGACAGAAAGTGTGTCGAGAGAGTGACAAAAATTATGTGTAGAACCATACTAGTAAGAAAAATTATGAAAATTCCTATTTGAAAGTTTGTTGCTTTGAGGTAAAGGTAGTAGGTAGCATAATTTATATAAAATATTACAAAAATATAACCTAAAAAAATATTTGTAAACAGTGCAGATCCAAAATTAATAACAAAAAAATTATAGGACACAACTCTATCTATAATATATAATCTATGTCTATCTATACCATATTAAAAAGGGTAGGTCATTAATATATAAAATATTTTCGGACACTTTTGTCCCTTACTAAATTACTAATTTACAAACCAGGTCATTAATATATTATTATAAATATTAAACTAATTATTAATTTACAATGATAATAAATGCATAACATTTAAAATGTTAGAATGTAAAAAGTTTTCCTTTAACTATAATTCATACAAGAATTTAAAGAGTCGTTTTAGAATTTCAAAAGTTTTTGTAATTTTTTATCTTCTACTACTATACAATAGGCTTTCTTTCTACCATGTTTTTCACAAGAGACAATTTCACGCTACTTCCTCACTTTTAGTTCCTTCAAAATATCTCTCAACGATTATTCAATCTTGAAAACATATCGAGATGTTGGTGGTATATATTAATCAAGTTACAAGGTATGCATATTCATCAAGTTACAAGGGATGCATATTCATCAAGTTGCAAGGTCGAATATATATATGTTGAATACTAGGCTTCCAGTATTACCATTCCACAATTTTATGAAGTTGAATAATAGTATTTGTCAACAGTGAGCATATGTACTCTACAAGAGTTATGAATCCAATATTTTTTTTGTTACTATTGTTTTTTTATTGTTCTTTTATAATTAGTGTATTTTTTTAAAAATATTTTTATTTCAAGTAATTTTATTTAGAATATTTATTTAAAATGTAGATGAATTATAATCTATTTTTTATTGTTGAAAAAAAATTAATACATCAAAAAGTGTTTAATTAATTAGATAATAAATTAATTATCAACAATAATTTTTATGGAATCTTAAAAGGTGGGATACAAAATTTTTTCATTTGATTTTCAAATAATATAATTTAAAGATTTTTTTTAATAATTTCATAATAAAATAATTTCATCTCAAGTTAAAAAAATTTAACATCTATAATCTATAATCTATATCTAAATTTGATTTGGTCGCCGAAGATTTGGTCGCCGAATCTCAAATTTCTTGTAGTGTATATTGAAAAGAGAGGATATAGGAAGTTACACAATCACTATATCATCTTCATTTTATTGATATGGTACATCAAAGATAGACCAAATAACAATTCAACATGAAAAAGAATAGTCATAAAAAATTAAAGTTACATTACCATTGATATACCATTTAAATTATCTACAAGTAATAAATCAAATATTAAATATGTATGTAAAAATAATACTAATACAAGATGAAAGTTCAACTAGTATACCACTTTTATCTATTATATTGATACAATATATCGTGATAAAACTGAATATTAAATCAGCATGAAAATTGAACATTAATAGAAAACCAAAGTTAAATAATCATTGATATATCATTTTCATTCTATTAAATACGGTGGATCAATCATAGAACAAATAGTAAATCAACCGGACGAAAGAGCATCGATAGAAAATCAAAGTTACATAATCACTAATAAATATGGTATACCAATGAAAGACAAAATTACAAAAGAACATGAAAAAGGATCACGAATAGAAACTAAAAGTTACCCATGGTATACCATTTTAGTTTTATTGACATGGTATATCAATGATATACCTGTTGATGTAAAATCTGGATTCGATCTCTAGCGTCGATAATTTCGACTAACATCTGCACAAAAAAAAATCTGCAAATCGGTATAGGTACTAAGCTGAATAGTCTATATACATATATAAATATATTTATTAACTAATTATAATCCTAGTAATCATTAATGGATAGAGTCGATTACAAAGTTAGTCTTTTAATTTTTAGAATAGTGTCAAAAAGTTTTTTAAACTTTCAATTTTGTGTAAAATAGATATTCATGCCATTAATTCTATGAATCACCCTTAGTTTATTGCTTATGTGCTATCTTAATTTAAATGTTTAAAGATTACGTGGTTTTGACATGCTAATTGAAACTTGCCACATACAATAATACATAAAAAGAATACTCCAATTACAATTTTAGTCCCGAAACTCTATTAGGTCGTCAACTTTTTTAAAATTTATCTAGTGAATTTATAAACTTTTCTTTCTTTGTTCTTCCCTTCCCTCTATTGCTCAGTTTTATTTTGATTTATTTTGGTTACTTCTTTTCTTTTTCTTTTTTTTTCTGAAGAGAATTTATTTTGGTTACCCTATTTTTTCTTTCCAGTATCTTAAATTTTTGCCTTAAAACCCACTCCCAATTTCATTCACGCATTAGCTAGCCCCAAATTTTAAAAACTCGTGCCCTAAATCCACCCCTAATTTCCTTCATCCATTTTTCTTTCCAATTTTCTGAAAATTTGCCCTACAATTTGTCTGTTAAACCATCCCCAAATTTATATCAAACAAAATCATTTCAAGTATGAAATTTGTTTTTACATATCATAGCGGTCACCTAATCTTTAAATAGTACAGTCAATGCGCTACATAAATACTATATTTAATTGAATATGACCTATTTAATATAAAAAATGAATGTTTAAAATTATAAAACCTATTTGACACAATCTCAAGAGTTCAATGAAGTAAAATTATAATTTAATCTTTTATATATATATATATATATATTTTGTTATTCTTTTAACTATTATTTCATCTAATCAATTATATATATCCAACCACTATAATGAAGATAACACCTCTCCCAATAAGACAATATTATCTCTCATATATCAAATATTTCTATAAACAAACATTTTAATTTCAAATTTTATATCTTCAATTGGCAATTATCCTTGATATAAAAATGCTATTTTGTCTTCTTCTATTACCTTATTATTTAATTAAAAAAATTCTAAAATGAATTATTTATAAATTACGTCCCTTTCCAGAACCTAAAAGACATATATTGTGGATCCAACATTCACAAAAGTCCACACAAATCCCACCTTGTTATAACATTTTAAAAATAATTTTAAGCACTAATCAATCGGTAGGTGTCTTCTTACTAAATGTTAAGATATTTATAAAGGATTAAAATTATCATAATTATTAGTTTAAGTTTTTTAGTTATTGATGATTTAACATGTTTAGCATTGTATTAGAACGGTGAGGAGGAGTGGTAAGGTATCTATAACATGTTTAATATGGTATCAGAGTCTTGAGTTTGAACGCTTTTGATGCTGGAAATTTGGTCTCCTTGGTTCTCGCTAAATGTGCACCAAGCTCAATAATCACGGGATCGGATATCTACAAAATCAAACAACCCTAACCCGGTGTGAATTCGGTCACACTGGCTCCGATGCGTAAGCCAGCGATGGGAGGATTACTAAGTGAAGTACTTAGGGTTTACTTGCTTACCTCTAGGGTTCAGCCAGTTGTTCCATTTATAGGAGTCTTGCATTCTGGAACCTTCTCATTGAGCCCATCTATCCGTCGTCACTGGATCACAGGAATTCGTGGACCGGGACACCTCTCCCAATAGAAGAAGAGAGAAAGTGGACTCGGCCAACGGGCCCAGCCAGGGTCGGGACCGAGCCCCGGCTCGCTCGGTCTATCGCTGGGTTTCGGCCTCTCTGGTCTGTAGAGGAGCATTTCCTTGGCCGGATCCAATCCCATAACAGTTGCCCCCACTCTCGAGATGATGCTCT